TTTACGCGTGTTAATTTAATTAAACTTTCCTAATACGTGATAACTCTTAAAATGGTAGCCTATTTTCCAACATAGGTCATAAGCTATCTCTGTGCGAAATGTCATGCAAATCTGTTCAGTCGTTTCCGCGTTTTAATTTAATTAAAACTTTTTTAACAGGAGGCAACTCCTCCAAAAAATTAGCCTATTTTCCGATGTAGGTCATAAGCTATCTGCTTGCAAAATTTCATGCAAATCCGTTCCGCGTATTAATTTAATTAAACTTTTTTAGCAGGTGGCAACTCTTAAGAAAAGTAGCCTATTTTCCAACCTAGCTCCTAAGCTATCTGTGTGAAAACTTCCATGCAAATCAGTTCATTCATTTCCGCGTATTAGTTAAATTAAACATTTATAACAGCTGGCAACTCTTCCAAAAAATAGCCTATTTCTCACTGTAGGTCATAAGCTATCTGCTTGCAAAATTTCATGCAAATCCATTCAGTCGTTTCCGCGTATTAACATAATGAAACTTTTTTAACAGATGGCAACTCTTAATAAAAGTAGCCTATTTTCCAATCTGGCCCATAAGCTATCTGCGTACAAAATTTCATGCAAATCCGTTCAGTCGTTTCCGCGTGATGATTTCCCAAACATCCAAACATACAAACTTTCACATTTATAATATTAGTAAGAGTAAGATTGCTTGGTAGCGGCAGAGCTGAAATGCGCAATGAATTCATTCATACATACATATGTATATATGTATGCATATATATATGTATACATACATACGTGCTTTTAAACATACATATACATATACATATGTAGGTACTCGTACCCGTCATGCATCGCTTTATTTCTTTTTTCCCCTTCCCTATACTTCCTATATCTTCCTTCTCACTCATGTAACGTTTTCAGTTTTAAAAATTTCACTCTCAAGTTTTGCGATACCGCCGCCTAAGAAGTTTCACCTCAAAAATATTGCCCAACAAGTAAACAAAATTACTGTTTTTGAAATTTTTGCTGCAAACGAATTCCCCGAAGAGCCCCATTTGAAATGGTTGAAACGAATATATGTAACATCAAAAGCAAATCACGAAAATTTGGTTTAAAATTACAGTTTATTCTTTTATGTCTCGTAGCTTTTTTAAGATTAGTATAAAAAAATCATTATGAAGAAAGAAACCAATTCATGTATTTAAAGCACCGAAAAAAAAGAATATTATTTCTTCTTTGACGTACGTCAAAGGTCAAGTAGGTAGGTAGGTCAAGTAGAAGTGATAACATGTATGACTGCCCATTGATAACTCGGTTATATAGCTTAAGGAATAATTTGTTTAGAGACACTTTTATCAAAGTTGACAAATATGACATTTGACCAGTTTTGTTACACAAATATTCCCGTGTGCGGCGCATTATAAGGATTATTTTTTTCATCTTTTTCTTCTAATTCCAGAGTAAAAACTCGTACAGCAGATTCGAAGTTTGGTTTAAAATTGTTATAACTTGGCTCCCAGAAGGCCTAAAGATCTCCACCATGGCTCAAATTAAAGATCTGGAATAGCAGTACAGCGTACTGGTTATTCGAGTGATATAAAATTGTGAGAAGGATGCACAGCTGCATGCAAATAAAAAAAATGCAATCAAAAATGCATTTCTTAAATTGAATTGTTAAGACTTTTTTCGATTTTTAAACAGTGGACTCGTGTTTCTTATCTCGAAATATATAATATTAGTGTAATAAAACACACAAAAAAGATTTTTTGGAACAAACCCGGAGAACACTATTTATGACCAATTTTTTTAAGGTCAAGGAGTAGTTGTGGGTCAATGGCAGCGAATAACATTAGCTTTAAAAGCTATTTTGTTTCTTATCTAAATATTGCCTCTGTCGAAAGCGCTATGATTAATTCGCATGGAGTGTTCAAAAAGCACTTTTCGCGGCGCCCGGGTAACACGACCACAGGCAAAAAATTGGCTACTATTTGTCATTTTGTTTGCCAGATATCCGTTTTATCGGTGCACTTGCACAACATTCGCATCCGCAAAAGCTCCGCATTGCTTATTGCAAAAGCGAATGCTAAATTAATGCGGAAGTTCCGCGGTTGCGAATGCGAATATGCGCAACAACCCTGATATGTACATAAAGTGTGGTTGCTCCCGAACTTAGCTTCTTAACTTGTTTTCATTGATATTTTCATTCCCTAATGAACCTTTCAAAAAGGAAACTGCTGTGCATCGGCATACAAGCAACAACAAAACCATTTACCCTGGTTTTTGTGATTTGTGCGTACTGAAACGCGTCGATAGTCATTGTTTTACACAAGCCAGTGCTCACATCAGCATAAGCTGATTGAACACTAGCATGCCACACTTTTTGGCAACATTTCAAAGGCGATGTTGGCAGCACCGTTACTCGACCCCTCAATCGCTCTGCGGTTTAGTCGCTCAACTTGTGCCCCAATCTTCATCCCAATACCCCACAACATTGCATCCAACCGTGCGGCTTATGGCGACGACATACTGATAATTTGTTTCCAGTCTGTGCACCCTTTGATGATTATTTTTTCTCATTGTAATGTTTTTTAAAAGGTTAAATTTTCCGACGTTAAAAATTTTGTGTACCTTCATAGAAGGTACGAGTATCTAAACTATTTGCTCGCACATATAAGTATACTTACAAATGAATGTGCATACCCACTAAGGCATTAAATCCTGGTATCGATACCTACTCATATCGGTACACTGAGGGGGAAAAAAATTAAAATCAAATTGAAACGTAATTGATCTTACTATAAACGCCAACGAAAGTACTGTATATTGGTAAATATTCAATTCAATTACGCGCATATTAAAATGACCGCGTTCGTTCTGAAAAAGAATCCGTGAAGTGAATAATCAAGACAAAAACTAAAAAAAAATATTTAACTTGCATGTGGCATGCAGTGGAATTCGAACCCTGACCATCTCTGGAAATCAACAAATTGTGGCATGCATCTTTGCTCACTCAGCTACACCCAGGCATATAAATTTGCTTTCAAATGTTAAATATCCATCAACACCACAGCACGCGATTTGTACGGATAACCATGTAAATACTATGTATGAATGTGTGTGTTGTCACCGCTCTCAGAGCGGCGCTCTGCATGCTTGGGGTGCGTATGTACACTCATATATATACTCAGATGTGAACAGTCAAATACGTGCGTAATAAATTTTGTATGAATATATTATTTTTAAATGCCAACATTTTTAAACGATAATCTATACATATAATAAAATTGTAACATGTCGATGTCTGTACATTATAAATATTAAAGAAAAATTAGTGTAGGGGGTCTTTATTAGAGCACCAGAAGCCAAATCAACCATTTTTAGAATTTTTGTCTGTCTGTCTGTCTGTATGTTTGTTCGCGCATCACTCGAAAACGAATGCATGGATTTGAATGCAGTTTTCACCGATGTATTGCTAGAGGTCTAACTTAAAATATAGGAAGACAAAAATTAAAAAGTTGCCACCTTTTTGAAAATTGGAGTTTAAGTAAGTTGATAAGAAAAAATTAATTTTGCAATATGGGCGTCAAAAGAAAGAGGCTGAAGGCTTACAGCCAAAAATATTTTTTTAGAGTTGCTACCTGTTTGAAAATTTACATTTAATTTAATTTATAAGATAAATTGAATATTGCAATATGGGTATCAAACTGAAGGGGTTTAGGAAATTTTATTGCCGAAAATATTGTTAGGGAGGGCTGCCACCTGTTTGAAAAATTTTATTGTATTAAATTGATAAAATAAATGAAATCTATATCTACATCTATACATATAATAAAATTGTAACAGGTCGATGTCTGTACCTTATAGATATTAAAGAAAAATTAATATGGTGGGTTTTTATTAAAGCTACAGAAGCCAAATAAACAATTTTTCGAATTTTTGAATCTCTGTCTGTTTGTATATTTGTACGCGCATTAGTCGAAAACATGGAATTGAATGCAGTTTTCACCGATGTATCGCTAGAGATCTAGCTTCCAATATAGAAGAAAGAATTAGAGAGTTGCCACCTGTGTTTAAAATTTCAGTTTAGGTCAATTCATACGGTAAAGTGAATACTGCAATATGGCTGTCAAAAGAAAGAAATTTACAAAGACTTACAGCTGAAAATATTTTTGTGGAAGGTTGCCACCTATTTGAAAACTTTAATTTAATTTAATTGATAGCATAAATTAAATATTGCATTACTGGCATCAAACTAAAGAGGCTAGGAAATTTTAATGCTGAAAATATTTTTAGGGGATTTGCCAACTGATTGAAAAATTGTATTCATTCAAATTTGTAAAATAAATGAAATATTGCAATACGAATATTAAACTAAAGAGGATTAGGAAGCTTGCTTTTGAAAATATTCTTGAAGCGGGTTTGAAAACTTTAATTCAGTTAAAATTATAATATAAACTAAGTGTTGCCATATGGGTATCAAACGAGAGTATTTGAGAATAATAAAATTGAAACAGGCCGATATCTGTACATAATAGACGTTAAAGAAAAATTAATGGGGGTTTATTAGATCAACAGAAGCCAAATATAAAATTTTGGTATGTTTGTCTGTATGTTTGTAAGCGTATCACGCAAAAGCTAATGTATGGAATTAAATGCTGTTTTCACCGATGTACATATTGCTAGAGCTCTAATTGAAAATATAGAATCAATTTTTTGTTTGTTTTAGTTTATCGTCGATCATTATTCCTAGGTATTTATTTGAACGTATTAACTTTTTCCAGTGAGTCGTTGTTTATATTTAGAGTTAGCAACGGACCCTTCTCAAAATTTCGCCTTGATATAACCACAAACTTAATTTTTTTTATTTCTGTGTGGAAGGTTTTTCGCTAAAAAAAAATTAAAACTTTTCGTTGTTGCTGCCAAAATATTAAGAAATCTGAGACGTCACGTTTTACAATTTCATACAGTTCTCTTTATAATATTGTTGGATTTATTCATTTTTTTTAACTGTTTTATTGAATAAGGTTCACAGTAAGTCCGAGTTACATGAGTGAGTTTCTTAAACTGAAAACCTGCTCTCAATATTAATACTTAGAACTTAACTTATTCACAGACTTAGTACTATGCTAGTATGCGTTAACGAACATGTATACAAGAATTGAGTATAGGAATACAATATATGTTCAGGGTTGTCATATTTACTTATATTTCCAACACACCTCTTTAAATTGACAACCTTATCAAATTATTTCATTAAGTAATGTATTCGTATATTATATTGAAATGATGGTGGATTCAAATTAATCTCAAAGCTTCCCTGTTTCTCAAAAACTTTCTTTTATCTAAGCTCTTGGTTAACATATCAGCTAAGTTTAGTTCGGAATTTATTTTAACAATATCTATTATACCTCTCTCATAGTTTTCATTAATGTATTGGTATTGCACTTCAATGTGCTTTGAATTTTTTGTAAAATTTCCAAATTTTGCAATTGCAATTGCGCCAGAATTATCTTCATACATCCTTACCGCTTTATCAAATTTTACATTGAATGATTCAATTAATAAATTTCTTATAAATAATATTTCAGTTACTGCTTCGGACATTGCAGTGTACTCTGCAAAGGTGGAACATTTTGTTACAGTGTTTTGTTTATGCGTTTTCCAATATATTAAATTTCCATATAATCTTATTGCAAAACCTGTTGTGGATTTCCTATCCACATTGTCTCCTGCAAAGTCCGAATCTACCATACAATCTAATACCTCACATTCTAAATTGTCATAAAATGTTAACTTTAAGTTTTTAGTTAAGTATAGATATTTTAAGACCCTCATAGCGTATTTGAAGTGAGTAGCGTTGTAACAACTTTGGTAGTGACTCAAATAATTTGTAGCGTACGCTATATCTGGTCTTGTGCCAGTGCTTATATATAGTAATTCTCCTATGAGATTTCGGTACTTTATATTTTCATCTATTTCGCTAGCTTGAGTAAGTTTAAGACCTGTTTCCATAGGTGTGTCGTATAGTTTTGCGTTTTTTAAGTTATACTTTGCAGCTAAGGAATCAATGTAATTTGTTTGGCTTAGAGTCATAATTTTTTTATCTTCACTATAATTTATTTCTATGCCAATATAGCTCTGAATCTTACCTAGGTCTTTCATAGAAAATCTTGCCATTAAACTTGACTTTACTTCTTCTATTTCTCTTTTATCTTTACAGCAAATTAACAGATCGTCTACAAAAACTAATATGTATACAGGATTGTCTCTTGATCTATTTACATACAGGCAATAATCATAATTGCTTCGCACAAATTTCAATTTCTCAATAAACTTTTGAAAGCATTCGTACCATGCTCTTGGACTCTCCCTTAAACCATAAAGAGCTTTTCTTAATCTGTAAACTTTGTTTTCACCCGTTTCATAGCCCTTAGGTTCATTTACATAAACTTCTGATTTTATATAGCTATTTAAAAAGGCCGTTTCTACGTCCATTTGCTCCACATATAAATTATTTCGACAGCAGAACGACAACAACGTTTTCAGAGTTTGCATTTTACCTACGGGTGAATACACATTTTCAATATGTTCTTTTTGTTGATATCCCCTCACAACTAATCTTGCTTTAAAAATATTATTACCCTTCTTTTTATAAATCCATTTAACATCAATAATTCGTTTGTCTTTTGGTTTTTCCGTAAGTTCCCATGTGTTGTTTTTCTTTACACTATTCATCTCTGAGTTCATTGCATTTTGCCATTCCCTATATTCGCTAGAGTTAATCGCTTCTTCGAATGTGTTTGGTATGTTTGCATTTACGTAATTCACATATATACAGTGTGTTATTGGGCTTCCAAACCGGTCTACCGGTGTTCTCTTTCTATTCGATTTTCTTTCAGCTGTATTTGGTTCTTGATTTCTGTCATCCGAATTTTCATTTAATTCATCTTTAATTTCATTTTCGTTTATAGTAACATTCATGTTATCATAATCATCTTCATTATTGTCATCATTTTCTCTAGCATTAGTCTGGCCATATTTTTTGTTATCATTTTTATTTTCGTCCCATGCACTTTCTGGTTTACTTTCGTAGCTGTCATCTTTTTCTGTATCTAATTTATCTAAACAGATGAGACGATCATATTCTTCAACAATTTTTACATGCCTAGCATTAATTACTTTATTGTTTACCAAAACTCTGTAACCATTATTTGTATATCCTACTAAAACACCAATTTCTGCTTTATTGTCCCATTTAGATTTTCTTTTCACTTCAGGAACTCTTACAAATACTCTACTTCCGTAAATTTTTAAATTTTCAACATTGGGTTTCTTTTTAAAAAATATTTCGTAAGGGCTTTTGTTCTCTACTGTGTTTGCTATAGTTCTGTTTTTCAAATATGCTACCGTATTCATTACTTCAGGCCAATACTTTCTATTTATTCTTGCTTCTTTCATCAAACACCTACCTATATCCATAGCAGACCTATTGTACCTTTCAGCTACACCGTTTAGTTCATGTACATAGGGTGGACATGGCAATAATTGTATACCTTTATACTTAATAAATTCGAATACTTCTTTATTCATATATTCTTTTCCGTTGTCACATTGCAGTTTCTTTACTCGCTTATTAAACTGATTTTCAACTAAGTTAACATAGTCAATCAAACAACCTGCAGTTTCAGCTTTGCTTCTAATGCAATATATTCTTGCGCATTTGCTATAATCGTCTATAAACGTTAAAAAGTATTTTTCACCACAATAACCAGTTGTGCTGTGTGGACCATTTAAATCAGTATGTATCAATTCCAATGTTTCTGTTGCTTTTGACTTATTATTCTTAAAAGGTTCATTTGACATTTTACTTTCAATACAATTAGCACATTTCATTTCCACATTTTCGAGTTCTTCCGGTAGTCCGTCCAATAATTTGTTCTTTACTATTTTATTCAAATATTGGAAGTTTACGTGCCCTAACGCTCTATGCCATTTCTCTTTTTCTGTTAGTTTGGTTGAATTTACGTATATCCCCTTCTCTCTTTCTGTAAAGTAACTATTAATTTTATACAAGTTGTTTTCTTTATATGCAACAGCTAGTAGCTTTCCATTTTCATCATAAAATTTTGCGTTATTATTCTTTGCGACAAAAGTACAATTCGCTTGTGTTATTTTGGATAAACTTAGCAAATTTTGATTAATGTCTTTAACATAGTAAACATTTTTTATATCAATTTCATTTTCTTCATTATAAGTTTTAAAAGTTGTTTTTACATTGCCAATTTTTGTAGCCTTTAAAATTTTTCCGTCGGGTAGTTCAACATTAACATGTTCTTTTAAATTCACATATTTATCAAAAAATTTGCAATTCATTATTATATGATCAGAACAACCACTATCTACTAACCAGTTTATTTCGTTCGGGTTTTCCGAATTTTCCCTGTCTCTTTTTACCTCTGAATTCTACACTTGGGTAACCCACACATTTGCAGAACTTGAATTGTTGGTACTTTGATTTCGTAAATTCTCGCCTCTTGATGTTGATGACTGGAAACCTCTTCCTCGGCCGCGATTGCTGTATCCACCGCCTTTAGTGTAGATTGCCTGATAATTTCTTTGACTTCTTTCTTTATCTCTATTCTCTCCTCGATTTTTCTTGTTTGCCTGTGAGTACCAACAATCTCTCTTGATATGTCCAGGCTTTTTGCATGTAAAACAAACACCTCTCGTTGTTGCCGAAAATGTACTTACGTTGTTCTTCTTTTCTGTTTGGTTTCTGTTCAAGTTTTTTTCTATGATTTTTGATTTTACGTATTCCACAGTTCTCTGCTCTTCTGGTATGACATCCAAAAAATCTCCGATATAGCTATGGCTTGGTGGTAGTGCTTTCAACAAATACCTCATTTTTTCTTGTTCTTCCATCTTCCCGCCTGCCGCTTTGAATTCATTTACAGACTTTTCAAATTCTAAAAAGAATTCTTCAGCAGTGTCGTAATTTTGTAATTTAATTTCATCAATATTGTTTCTACGTAAAATCTGTAATGCCGTTGCTTGCGTATTGTACATCTTGTCCAATTTGTTGATCATATCCAAAGATGAGTCGCAGTCGCAAATGTACTCTAGTTGTTTGTCTGAGATTGTGCTAATTAATATGGTTTTCGCTTTTAGATCTTTCTTTTTCCACTTTAATTCTTCATCGTTTTCTGTCCTTGTTCTGGTAGCCGGTTCTTTGCACTCCTTGTACTCCAACAGCATCATAAGTCGTATTTTCCAGCTTGAGAAATTTGCACCATCAAAAATTGGTATAGCAATATCTTCGAATTTTGCAGTGGCCATCATAAGTTCGTATTCTCACTTGCGTGCGTTGTATAATTTTCATGTAGGTATGTAAGATTTAGTTTTAATCTGAAGACATCGATCCTTACATATAATTTTGAGAATCCACGCTAAGTTTTTCAAAAGTTCATTATCTATTTTTCTCAAAGGAAAGTATATTTTTAAACTCCTTCCGTTTATTCAGAATTTCAATGAATTCAATATAATTTCGACCACGTGTCTACTTATAGATATTTTGTTGGAGAACTTAAGTTTATTACCACGTTTTCTTACGTTATGGTATTTTGAGAATTTCACTATTTTTTTTAATTGTCCTTCTTTATCTTCGCAAACTTTTATCATTAATCGGTAATTTTTAAAATTCATGACCTTGCTCTGCTACCATGTTGGATTTATTCATTTTTTTTAACTGTTTTATTGAATAAGGTTCACAGTAAGTCCGAGTTAAACTGAAAACCTGCTCTCAATATTAATACTTAGAACTTAACTTATTCACAGACTTAGTACTATGCTAGTATGCGTTAACGAACATGTATACAAGAATTGAGTATAGGAATACAATATATGTTCAGGGTTGTCATATTTACTTATATTTCCAACAAATATATTTCACTAAACTACTAAACGGCTGCATCGATTGGTTCATATTTGGCAACACGTTGAAAATAAATATTCTGACCAAAAATTTACTCGGTATGTAGCTCGGGATATTCCTAAAATTCTTATACAGACTAAAACGTAAAAAACCAATATATCTCTAAAACCAATTACGCTGGGGAACTGAAACTTAGCACTGATGCATATATTGCAAATGCATTGGGAAAGG